CACACACACACACACACACACATTATAGATCTCCTTTGCTATGGAATTAGCAATTTCTTAGAGAGGAAGCTAATCTCATAGAGAGACTCTAAAGGGTTTGACTAGTGCTGTGAGCTGGAGAAGTCATATTTTCTTTGTAATGATTCTGACACTCCCTGTATTGTACCTTCATGCTCCACAGATCCGCATGACCTACAGTAAATTAGTGCATGGGAGAGTGGGGAAAGGTTGTAAGGTGCATTGAGTCAAACAGCACTCATAGCTACTCTGTGAACAGTAGATCTGAACCTTGCCTTATCCTTTGCCATCCTCATTGTCTGTGCCACGCTTGAGCCCATTGTTTTCTTTTGATGCCTGAATTGTAGAAGGCATTTTTGAGCTATCAGCAGGGGCTCATCCGTGGAAAATGACATGATGCTTGGAAAAGTAGAGGATCTGTGGATGAGAAGAAGACCTTCAGTGTGAGATGGAGGCATAATGACTGCAACAGTGATCTTGTTGCACAGCAGAGACTGTGAGAGTAAGTAGCACAGGATTGGGCAGTGTTTCGTCCTGTGGCTGTGAGTCGCAGCTAACGACACCTACCAAAAATAACAGTAGCAAAAACCTGTATTCAAAAAATTGTGGAAGGATGGATATCGAAGAGTTCTTAAGAGGACTCAGATGGATGTGAGGAGAGCAACAGGGAAAGTCTGTCGTCTTAGAGAATTCACAGATGCCAGCAACAATAAAAGCTAATAGAAATGTAGATGTTCCGTGTGCGATTGGTGAGATGTTAAAACGATGACTATATGATTGGACGGTAAAAAGGTTGTGCTTTTTATGCGGTGACAAAGAACTTGTCTGAGTTCAGTTATTTAATTAAAGATAGAACTTACATATTATGAAATAGAGTATCGGGCTAAGAGTTTTCTTTTCAATGAAACTTACAGATTTTAACCTTTACGTAAAATCTTATGAGGGCCATGGCATTTCTCTTTGCCCCTTATAAGTAATACATAACAGGAAAGAGATGGACTTAAAAATGAACAACGCAGAATGAATACAGAACTTAACAATTTAAAAAATTCTCGTGTGCTAAGTAAGGGTATGTGTTCTAAATGTGCACCGAGGACATGGCCATACGGTCTTTTTTAAAGCAGGTAAGCCTGTGACTGATGAGTGTAACCAGCTACCCATCAGCTTAGACTGAGGTAGACAGATACAGGACCTCAGTTGGCTGTTTAAAAGAAGGTCTGCTATTTGCCTCTTAAAATTTTACAGGCACGAACTGCATCTGTTGTCCTCTAAGAAAGGACCAGTCCTGAAGTAGCTCAGAGATCAACCGAAATGCTGGAAGGAGCACGGAAGTGCTTTGTTTCAAAGGTTAGGGCCACAGACTCCTGGTTTCCAAGAGATCCTTGTTCAATTCTACAGTATGAGATTGCTTTTCAGGTGTGCCAGGGTGATGGATCTGTTGCACAAAGCTAAGAGCTGGGCTGCCATCTGCCTCAGGGACAGAAGAATAAGGCCTGCCTGGTCTTAACGGACGGGACCACAACTTAGGTGATTTAGTAGAAAAGGGCAAAGCCAAGGGAGCAGAATTACCATCCAGGAGACCTGGATAGTGGAGTTGAAGCACAGGTACAAGGGGCATCCACCCAGAATTCAGAGAGTGTGTGGCCAATAATTTGAGTCTAGGAGGTGGATCTATTGCCCAGATATACTCAGAAAATCATTTTAAAGGTTTGAAGCTGATTTGGGGTTTATTTGGTACTTGTTTCTTCCTTTCCACCAATTTTATCCTTTTTTAATTTGGATGTATACCCTGTGCCTGTCCCACTACTATTCTTTGGAAATAGAAAACTGGTATTTCAGATTTCATAGGTTTATATTTAAAGATGAATTTTTTCCCCCCTGGAAGGAAATATGAGCATGATCAGTATAGAGTTCAGGAATAATTATCTTTTGAGCTATAAAAGAGATTAAACATGCACATCTATGTTTATCACAGTATTGTTCACAATAGCAAGGAGTTGGAAACAGCCTAAGTGCCCATCAACAAATGAATGGATAGAGAAGCTGTGGTATATTCACACAATGGAATACTACGCTCCATTGAAAAACAGTAACTCATGCAATATTATTCAAAATGGGTGACCCTGGGGACATCATGCTGAGTGGAGTATCTCAGTCACAAAAGGATAAATACTGCATGGTGCCACTGTTGTAAAACAGGACTGACCTTGGGGTTGGGGGGAAACTGAGAAAGATGGGTTCAATAATGTATACTGCACTGAAACAGAGGAGGGAGAAAACTGTTTAAAGGGGATATGTGATGTCATGACAGGAGTCCAGAACGAAGGCTGCACAGTGGAGTGGACCTGGGAGGTGAGTTTGTAAAAACAATGAAAGAATTATTCTTTTTACTTTTCAAAGAGAAGGGTGTACTGCAGGGGAGGGGTGGGCAGGGAGAAAAGTGCAACAATGAATTAATGGAAATCCAAAGTCTCGGTAAATTTTCATTAAAATTAATAAAAAATATTAAAAAGATTAAACAAACAGCTGAAAGAAGCAGAGATGAGAAGAAAGATCCCAGTGCACATGAGTATGACCCAGGACCAAAATCTCAAAAGATAAAAGGGTTTTCTTCTAGAATATTGATCTGTACTGGGGAGTTAGAACCAACTCATAGCTACGCGTCCGAGAGTTTTCAGAGGCCGTAAGTTGCGTGGGAGGAGATTGTTCATCTTAGACCTGCAAAGCAGCTGGTAGATTCAGCCTGCATGTTTTGGGGGAAGGGCCTCTCCTTACCACTAGACCACTAGAGAGTTCTTCCTCTAGAGTGTTGTTGTGTTCCATGGAGTTGAAACCAACCAATAGCTGACCACCACCAGCAGCAGGTTTTCAGAGACAGTTAATCGCACATGTTTCTCCAACAGAACAGCTAGTGGATTTGAACTGCGTAACTTTGGACTGGCCACACATTTCCTTACTGCTAAGCCACCAGGAATTTGGACTTTAAGCTTTCTTGCTACTACTACTGCTAGGGCTGCTGCTTCTCCTCCTCCTTCTTCATACTCCTCATTGCCATCAAGTTGGAACTGACTCATAGCTCACTCTCCAGCAGGTCTTTGGGAGCCCATAAATTACATTAGAGATATTGCCTTTCTTCCAAGGAGCTGCTCGTGTACTGGAGCCACCAGAGACTTGACCTTTGGGTTAGCAGCACGATTTCCTGTGAACTGTGCCACCAGAGTTCCCTAGGTTCATAAACCCAGAAGAGAAATTTTCTTTTGTTAAAGCCACTTACTTAATATTTATAACAACACTAGGTAATGAGAATGGACCCTTAGTGGTGTAGTGGACCAAGTGGTGTGCTACTAACTGAATGCATGAGTTCTGGAAGTGAAAGATGATGGTCTCCTTGCATTAAGATTTATCAGTCTTTGGAAGTTTGGTGGAGACGTCACCATGAGTCACAATCAACTTGAAGGCAGTATGTAGATAACGCACATATGCTAAAATGAAATGTATATTTACATTTAAACAATAAGCTTAACATTTGAGTTATTTTAAAAAACTTGTCTATAAATAGATGTTTGGTGTGGTTTTTTTAAAAATCATAAACTTTAAAATGGAGATGCAGATTTACAGACTATGAAGGGGAAAGGTCTGTCACATTACAAATTGGATTATTCATTTGACCAATACATTTATGGGAATAGGCTGTTTAAAACAAATACCTTTAATGAAGTTGTAAACAACAGATACACATCATCATATAACATGTGTTTTGTATTTGTATATGCACTCATGTTTTAAAGTAAAATATTCAAAACCCAATAATTTGGAGTTTAAAAATATTAGCTGGCCTGTTGCTTATTAAATGTTAACTCTAAACAATATTACAAGAATGGTAAGAATTTATCAAGTAAATTCAATCTTAAGTAAATATGTGAAATGATAATTATTTTAAATTTAATGTGATAATGAACTCATCATATTTCTAAAACCGTAATTTTATTTATTTTTTTAACCCCCAGGTTTTAATTACAACAAGGACAGCTGCTGATAATTTTAGTACCCAGTATGTTTTAGACAGCAGTGGCCACATAATTTCTCAGAAGCCTTCACATCTTGGTCAAGGTAAGAGAGTAACTTGTAGCATTTTTAACTTTATTTAAAAATGTAATAACTCTTTGAATGCAAATGTCTTGTGCAGGGGTTTCTTCCAGATAAAGACTAGTTCCTTTTCCAAGTGAACATTTAACCTATAATCTAGCTATCAATCTCCTAAATACTTAAATTGGTCCTTCAGAAGAGCTGTGTGAAATTCCGTGGGCAATTTCATGAATTGGTTAATTGCTTATAAACCTGTGAGAGTATTTATTTTACTATTTCTGGATTTCTTCGAATTCCTGGATGTTACAAACAGTTAAGTGTTTGGCCACCTGGAGTACAAGCTGGATTGTTTCATTTTGAAAACCTTATAGAGCAGCTCTTCTCTACACACATGGAGTCACTAAAAGAATCAACTCAGTAGCAAGTAATGCCAATGACATCATCACTTTATGTATGAAATTGTAAAAAGAGTGAGAACTACATGGGGACAGCCATGTCTAACCTTTACTAACTCCACAATGAGGAACTGTCCCCATCAACAACACAAAACCAATTCCTATGGTGTCAGTTCCCACGTCTCTTTCTACTCAACACAACACTAATATTAATACTCTTCCGGGTCCAGAATCCAGTACAGTAGTTCACAGACCATACAGAACCATAATTGTTGTTTTGTTGTTATGTGCCATTGAGTCACTTGCGACTCATAGCAACCCTATGTACAACAGTCCTATAGCCTGCTCTATCCTATGCAAATCTTTGTTTCTGACACACCTACCCTCATTACCCTAGTTACTAAATCAGTCCATCTCACTGAGGGTCTTCCTCTCATGTGCTGTCCCTCCACCCTCCCAAGCATGATTTCCCTCTCCGAGAACTGGGTCCTCCTTGTAACATGTCCACAGTATATCAGACGAAGCTTCAGAATCCTTGCCTCCAAGGAGCAGCCTGGTCTCACCTTTTCTAGGGCGAACCTGTTTGTTCTCCTCTCCATCCATGGTATATTCAATACTCCAGCACCACAGTTCAAAGGCATCAACTCTCCTTCTATCATCCCTAGTCATTGTCCAGCTCTCTGATGCATAGCAAGTGATTGCAAAGACCATGGCCTGTATCAGGCACACCTTAGTCTTGAGACTAACATCGTTGCTCTTCAGTACTTTGGAGTGATCTCTGACAGCATATTTTCCCAGTTCAATTTGTCTTTTAATTTCCCAGCTGCTGCTGTCAAGAGTGTTGATTGTAGAGCTAAGCAAACTGAAGCTGTTAACAATCTCAGCCTCTTCTCCATCTGTCATGATGCTGCCAGTCGGCACAGTGGTGAGAATCTTTGTTTTTTTGATGTTGAGCTTCCATCCATATTGAAGGCCGCAGTCCTTGACCTTGAAGTGCATGCACTTCAGGTCCTCCTCAACAAAGAACAAGGATCAGTATTTGGAAAATGTGGACTTGGAGATAGAGTGATCAAATTTTGTACAATCAATGATTTATTCATTGCAAATACTTTTTGTAAGAAACAAACACAGGCTGTCCACATGGATTTCACCTTATGGTATGCATAGGAATCCGATTGATTACATCTGTGGAAAGAATTGCTGAAGAAGCTCAGTATCAGCTGTGAAAACTAGACCGGGTGCTGATTGTGGGACAGACCACCGACTAACTACTCATATGCAAGTTCAAGCTAAAGCTGAGGAAAATTAATCCACAGGAACCAAAATTTGACCTTAAGTTTATCCCACCTGAATTTTAAAACCATCTCAGGAACAGATTTGAGACCTTGCACACTAATGAGTGAAGACCAAATGAGCAGTGTGATGATATCAGCATCATCCAGGAAGAATGCAGGGGGTCAGTACAAAGACAGGAGGAAGAAAAAATCAAGATGGATGTCAGAAAGGACTCTGAATATTGCATTAGAGCACCAAGAAGCCAAAACAAAGGGTAGAAATCAAGAAATTAAGGAACTGAACAGACAGAAAATTTCAAAGAACAGTGTGGAAAGACAGTAAAATACTATAATGAAATGTGTAAAGAAATGGAGTCAGAAAATCAAAGGGGCTGAACTTCCTTCAACATTTCCTAAGATCAAGGAACTGAAGAACAAATTCAAGCCTTGAGTTGCAATACTTAAGAATGCTCAGAATATTAATTGATCCAGGAAGTATTAAAAGAAGATGGAAAGAATACACAGAATCACTGTACCAAAAGGAATTGGTGGACACAGAAGAATTTCATGAAACAACATATGAGCAAGAGCCTGTAGTGATGAAGGAAGAAGTTCAAGCTGCTCTAAAGGAATTAGCAAAAACAAGCCCCAGGAATTGATGGCATACTGATTGACATATTTCAGCAGACACTGCGCTGGATGTGCTCACTAAGTTGTGCCAAGAAATCTGGGGACAACTACCTGGCCAACTGACTGGAAAAGATCAGTATTTGTTCCATTCCAAAGAAAGGTGACCCGATAGAGTGCCCAAATTATTGAACAATATTATTACTATGCCAGAACTATAATAGGCAAGTCAAAAGGCTATTGTAATTCAGGTTGGCAGCACAATAAAGACAACGTCTGAAATGTGCTCACAGGCACCTCAGCCTTGAGCCTTGTGGCTTTTAGGCAAGTGCTCAAAGCTGTCAGTGCTGTCAATTATGGCTCTCTCCCCCACTCGCCACCACCTCCTGTTGTCCAGCCAACTTGGGCAAAGGCATCTAGTTCTGGTTCCATGGGGTAGCAGTCCCAAGGTCCAGTCTATCTCATGTCAGGTCTCAGATTCTCTGCTGCGGCTGCACCTGTAGGCCCTGGTCTGACTGGTGCAAGAATCTCTGGGCAAAGGACACATTGCATTCTCTTGCTTCTCTGCTAGTCGTGAGATTCTCCAATTCTGTTGCTAGATCCATACAATTTAATGGCAAGACTAGCTATTCCCCTTGTGGATAGGCTAACACTCCCTATTTGCATATTCCTGCCCATCTCCATGACAAAGTAAGTCAGTGGCTGGAGAAGCTGTTTTAAGAAAACTCTTAACACCACAGAAGGGTTAGTATTTATTAAAACTTTACTGATATAGTAGTCATGGTATTAAGCCATACCATAAAAATACTATGAATTAAGTAACTGAAAGTATATTCATTTACATGTGGCATATAATTTAAATATATGTATAAATATATAGAATAAATTTATAAGTTTCTATCACATCTAATACTGTTATTTTGTTTCTCCCTTTCTATATTATTTTGAAGCGGGTAAATATCTTACTTGTTCTCACTAGCTATAATTTAGATCTTTAGTATTATATACTTATATGTAATTTTTATTACCTTTTAATTGATAAGCCTTTAAGTTTATATAATAACTATTTACTTGTAAGGGGAAAAGTCACTTTAGACTTTAATTTCATCGAATTCTTTAATGTTCTTGTTCTGCTAATTTTTGGTAATGTAATCATTAAGAAAAGAGAATATTAAAGGCATAATTGCTTCAGAGTTATTTTTACAAGCATTGTTTGATCTAAAATGTCTCATATTTTTTGGTTGGATATTTTTATTCTTCTTTATGATTTGTATTGTAAATCCATGTTTGACTTTGTTGTCCTTCATAATTTGTCAAAGTACTGTATTCTTTCCTGCTATTTCCCCTTCAGTTCTAATGATATATTATTGTTGTAGTTATGTTATTGATTGCTGTAGAGTTGAGCATGACTTACAGCGACCCTATAACCAAAAGACCTGAAGCCTTACAATACTGTCGTTTCTCATAGTTGATAGTTTCCAAAGGCATGGTAAATTATTAGATGTCTTTTATTTAAGTGACTTCTGTCCTTCATTGAAATTTATTTACTGTATTGATTTTTATTCTGTTTTATTACCCATATTAAATTATCTTATTCTTTTGATTATATTATAAATCTTCAATTAATTACTGGTATCCCTTGCCCATTAAAAATTAATATATTCCTTGCCCATTTAAAGTTAATGTGTCCTTGCATCCACATAGGTGAAGAAGTTAATTGGAACTCCTATAAAACAGGATTTTCCCCACTCATTTGGTTAATGAAAATAAGTTCAGCTCTAATGACTATTTACATTGATTTGCAGTAGTAATATACATTTTAACTAAGGTTATAATTATTTCATTCCATAGAAAAGTTAGGACAGAGAATACATATTTGAATATGGTTCCTTTCCAGAAATCCTCTGACCCTACTTCTTAGGAGTGCAAATCATAAAACCATTAGGAGGTATTTGAATGGCTATCCAGTAAGTACTTTGAGGTAATCTAGTCACCTTATAAAACTTAAATGTATTTATTTTTATCTTAGTAGTAGCCACACTAATCTAGATGGCCAGTAGCTCTCCATCACTCATGGTTCTCCTGCTTCTCTGTGTTCATCTCCATGGGAACTGTGAAACAACAATCCTTAAATAAGGAATCCATCTGATCTTTGCCCTTTTACTAGTTGATTTTTCTTTCTATGCTGACCCCATTCACTTACCTTTAGTGAATGAGACTAAGTATACATATTAGAGAATTTCTGTAGTTGTTAAGTCAACTTTATTTTGTTGAATAAATTTTTCAAGAATCATCGTACTTGTAAAGTTAGCTATTAGAAAACTGTAATTGCCTTTTATGCTTATTTTTTTTTCCCTCCTAACTCTAGTGAACTGACTAGAAAACAAGAAAATTCCATGTTTTTAATTTCCATTTCCTGTAGCTGAATGTATTATAGAAACCCAAAACACTTTTCATAAAGCTTACACATTTATGTTGCCTTAGTGCAGATATTTTTGAGTGATTGAATCTCAGACTCACATTTCACCAGCTGTCATTTAGCTTCCATTTAAATATTTTCTGTGTAAGATAAAACTACAGATCAGTCATCCTAATTAATACCTGTGCATTTAGGGTTCTTGTAGATTTATTTCAACTGCAGTGTGAACATCCCTGCTTAACTCTTTATACCATCCTAGAGGATGGCACCTCTAGACAGGTTCAGGGACAACCAAAAAAAGAACCTTTG